GATAGTAGACGCATTGGCCTTTTTCAGCAGTTGGATGACCTGCCGCTCAAGGATGATGAAGTCTTCGATCCACACGAGCTCCCTTTCAGTCATCCAGGACGGCATGGACCAAGCAAAATTTCGCATGCCGCGATTCCGCTCATCGCAGAGGCGCAGCAAGTTGAGCGGGCGCCTTTTTAGGCCGACTATGCATATTTTGGCCTGCTGGCTTCACGGCCACTCCTTGCGATTTTATGTGTCCAACGAAGACATGCCGAAGAATTCGGAGACTTCTTGTGAAGCCACCGCTCGGGCATTGAGCGACGCGTTCACAGAAGTTGGATCGTTGCCCCTTACACTATACGTGCAGCATGATGGAACCTACAGGGAGGCAAAGAACCAGTTTTACATGAGCTTTCTTCTTGTTCTCACAGTGCTTCAAGTCTTTCGGCAGTGCTATATTTCATTCTTGAGACCAGGCCATTCACACGAAGATGTGGATCAGATTTTCTCACAAGTCTCAGGAATGCTGAGCTCGCAGACATTCTCGAACCCAGATGAACTGGTCGACTTGTTGAACCTTACCTGCCAGCCTGACACGAGGGCACAGTCCTTACGGCAGAAAAAAAGGAGACTGGACAGGGTTGCTGCATCATCGTGCCGTTTGGATCAGACAGCCCAGTGGAAAGAATGGGTGGCTGTCGCGGGTGTCAAGCTCAAGGGCCTCAGACTCTTGTTGATACGAAAATGAGAAAACTTTTTAGTTGCAATTTGAGTTTACTGTTGATAGAATATGTCCGCACATTTCCTTTAGTCCAGGATTGGTGGGGCAAGTGCGATTCTGCCTGCGAATGGATCTCAGTCCGAGTTCCTTCGGCTCATGCCAGGTGGAAGAACTGAAAGGCTCAGAGCCCAGCCCCTGCGACGTATTGCTGGTGACGAAAAGGAGGATGGCAGACCACAGTCCAACACATGTCATGTGCGTTCTGTCTGCACAGGAGGCCTCCAACATCAGACATGCCTTCGAACAACCCTCTGGGGTCTCTCCGAGACGAGCTATCTCACAGCAAGTGGTTACGAATATTTCCGTTTACGCTCCAAGGTGCCAGGAGCAAGGCATCATTAATGCAGATGGAGCGACCTACTTGTTGGCTTGGTCCAGAGGCGAATGGGAGTCGAAGTCAAGGCCGAGATCTTATTCTTTCCTTCACCATCGACCACAATCGCCTGTGGATGGTGTGCCTGCCTTCCCACGTTCCTGGCAAAAGCCTCGTCGGGTGAGAACATTTGATGTGAGTGCCCGTGGTGATGAGAGCGAGACAGCCTCGGAGGAGGAGGAGGAGCGTGTTCCGATCCAGTTGGGTTGACAAGCCCTCAAGCTGCAAAGCGGCGGTCAAGTCAGATTTGTGCAGAGCCACGCTGGAAGGGGAAATGGTCAGAGCGGAAATGTCACGCTTGAGGCAAATAGTAGTAGTCAAACAGTGTTGCTGGCTGGTATAGGTCCCGATATGTGAACATTGTTTTGCACTCTGAGGCAACCACATGGAGATTGCTTTCGGACTTCCGGAGTTAGTTTTCAATAAAAGATTAAGGAAGGCTTTCCGTCGTTGGTCGGCCGAGGCGGAGTCAAGTGTCTGGTGGCGTTTGTGGCTGGAAGCTCATTTTGTTGGGAGGCTGCCTGCCAGTCTTGATGTCTTGATACCTGTGCCACACACGTTTTCTTTACATTTATCATTTGCGTCCGACGGTTTCCTGTTTTCCTTCCAAACATGCTGACCGTCGTGCGGAATGACCCGCAGCATTTTCTAACCAGACTGACGCTGAGCCTGTGTGTAGAAAGTAATGGGGCCGAAAACCAACAAGCGCCCAGCAGCCTCAGTGAATGTTATCAAAAGGCCAGCTTCAAAGCAGCCAAGGCCGGGGAAAAGGGGTTCTATCGTGATTCGTTGGTCCATAGTCTACAGTCTTACCTTTAACCAGCTTCTATAGGCCAGTTGTCAATTGCGACAGGAAAGCTCGCAGGAGCAATGTGCCCGCCAGCCCTTCACCAGAGGTATTCCACAGCACGGATGATGAGCGCCTTGCCCAGCTCTGTATGACTGAAACAAATTGTTGGATTTTGTTGGGTCCCAAATTCCGCTGAAAAAGTGTTCCCCAGAGGAAGGCGAGTGAGACGGAGGAAAAGAACGCCGCGGAGACCAATGTGAATGACCCTGAGCTTGACACGTTTTATTCCTCTGACGTGGAGGACATTGATGGGAGCAATCCCGAGAACACAGAGGGGCTAAGCGGTTGGACCGCGGACATGGAGCTGGGGGTTACTTAGCAGTAAATTTTTGGTGACATGAAAGACAAACATCCCAGGCTTCTGTCGGACGGCTTGTGTGCTTTTTGAATCGCCGGTTTATCGTGAGTTTTGCGCGCGCGTGGTGTTTTGAAAGATTGTTTCCAAGGCTCGTGGGTTCATCAGCAGGGCTGTCAACAACCCAGACTTTAGCGAGCTGCGCAGCAAGTTGAAGTCCTTGAGCGCAATCCTTTCGAGATCTCACAAGTCTACCATCCGCGTTGGAACCATTTGTTCTGGGATTGGAACGCAGGAGATGATTGGAGAGATCTTCGAGGAACAGTGGAACCGTGCCAATCCCGCTTCACTGTTGAAGGCTTGTGGCGTGTTCAATTCGCATTTTGGATGGCCAGTAGTTGAGTAGTCTTGTCAGATGTCTCATTAATCATTACTTCCCGATTCTTACAGCTTTTTTTGCAGGTAGAGCACAGCTTTCTCTGTGAAAATGACACTGCGAAGATCGATTTTCTCCTCCGTTGTTTTCCTGATGCTCATTACCTTTTCACTGACATGAAGGATGTGGCCCAGGGGCTGGCTCGAGATTGCAAGACTGATGGCTGGGTTGAAGCGCCGAAGGCGTGGGGTGTCAAGTGTGAAAGAAGGGTACCGTAGCTAAAGGGCATGATAGTTCAGCTGCGTTGGGAGAGGTGATTTAAAAAATTGCAGACCGATCATCGACCTCCAGACTTCCTCGCTTGCATGGCAGGTCGATGGTCTAGTCTCTGGCTTTCCTTGCATCTCTGTGTCACCGCTTAATATGGATCCGAAAGGATTCAAGGATACTTCCAGTGCTACCGGGTGCGGATTCAAATCTGTCACGGATTATGTTCAGCGCAGCCGACCACAATGGATTGCAATGGAAAATGTCAAGACATTGGTCCACGCCAGGGCGGTGGATGGCTACAAGAAGCCAATTTACTATATCCTCGAAACGATGAAGAAGCTAGGCTACTTCTCTGCCTTCGATGTGCCCAACACATATTCTTATGGCTTGCCCCAGTCGCGAACTCGAGTTTGGATGATGTTCATCAGGAATGATTGCCTCGCCCCAGCACTGACTACAGGATCTATCTTGCAGATGTTTAGGTCATTTCAATTGAAGGCCTGCTCATTGGGGAGAATCTTCTTGGATGATTGTGAGGTTCCACGTGGGGAGAGTCGCCAGGCTGCTATGTCTTCAAAGGATCGCGAGCTCAAGTGGCCTGAGAAGTTCGAAGAAGCCAAGGAAAAGCTGGGTGCTGTCGCTTGGCATGGAGGGACGCAAGGCCTCACACGTGAAATTAATGACTTAATTCATAACAGCCACGGGTATAGGGATGGTGCTGGGAGTTTTCAAACAGATTCCCTGAGAACACTTTGTGGATGGGCCAAGGAGAGGGTCGACAAAATGCTCCTCAGAATCAGAAGTGAGAAGTTGCTTTTGCCCGAGCGGGAGTTGGCAATCTTGGCTGTGGCCTGCGTGGATCTTCAGGTCAACTTTGGCATGGATCCTTGCAAAGAGGAGCTTGTTGTGCAAGTTGAGCCTGGGAATTGATTGATATTTCTTGCTACACGCGAGCAAACTTAGTAGACAGGGTTTTCTCTGTGGGACCCAGAGAATGTTAGATAATAGATAGTTTGACCGCAGCTGAAGCCCTGTGTCCTGTAAGGACCAGAACTTTGACCGTGGAACTTTCTTACGAAGCAACCCCAAGCTGGCAAATTGCACTATTCCCAAGGGCAAGTATGTAATCACCAAGCGGTGGCGCCTGCTGACCAGTCAGGAATTGCCTGTGATTTTGCTTGCGTGCGGATTTGTGGATTTTCAAAAGATGAGTTAGTCTATGTTTGGATTATATAGCATGCCTGCAGGAGTGTGCGCGACTCCAAGGCTTTGGAGCTCACGAGTACCATCGTTTCCATCTTGGATCCTTGTCGCCAGCTTTGCTGCAAAAGTTTGCTGGCAATGCGTCTCTTGCCGAGAGATTGGGTTTAAACCGTCAAGTGAGCACTCACAGGTTCCAAACATATGAAGATGAAGCGGGAAAGGTTGTTGCTCTCACTGCTGACTCCGGATGCTTTCCTCAGGTTCTCTGTGCCCGTGGCACTGGCGGCCTTTCTTTCCATCTTAGCACATTGGCGCCCGCGCAGTGATCAGTGACAGACTAGGCCAAAGGCTTCAATACCATTGCACTCGTGGGCCTGGTCCAGTTTTGAAATTTGTGTGGTGATACCCACACTGTGGTTCCGTGAGTTAAGATTTAATTCGACATGAGCTGTCGGTAGTGTGTCAAGTCTTTAGACAAACTCATTTGCGCAGGGTGGATGTCAAAAATCACCGGATGAACATTGGTTTTGCAGCAAGGTTTAGTCTTCCGATTGTCAATGCCAACTCCAGTCGCAGGCTGCTTCACTTGAAAATTCCTCTGACGGTAGCGTGTCAAGTCTTCAGGCAAACTCATTTGCGCAGGGTGGATGTGAAAAATCACCAGGTGAACATTGGTTTTGCAGCAAGTTTTAGTCTTCCGATTGTCAATGCCAATTCACTTGAATACGGCTAACATTCCTTTGACTGCAATCATGTCCAGTCTAGTCGTATGACTTTCTTCCCACATCCGTGTCTTGACATCAAATCGTGCTCCTTTGGCCCACAGACTCGGGTGCACGGCCTGGCGTTGTGTTTGGCATCAGAAGCATCATGCCTCCTAAGAAGAAGGCCCGCGTTGCACGTAGTGCCTTGGAGGAGCCACTTCCTTTGGTCCAGTCCCATTTGGACCAATGGCTTCAGACCGTCTATAGCAAGCGGCACGCTAAGCCTGATGATGGAGATGACATGGATTGGCCTGTGCTTCATGGAGGGACATTCATGGAGATTGCAGCTCGAGCTTGGGAATCTCCAGAGAGGCTGGTGACAGCTGCCTTCAAGGTTTGCAGAAAGGCAGGGTTGGTCCCAGATCATAGCAGCCTGGAAGACTGGCAAGGCCAGTTTTGCCGCCTGGAGGCCGGGCTGCAAGGCACATAGGGCCGCTGGACAAGCGGAATGCGCGCTGGACAAGCGCAAGGTGCGTTGGACAATGCGCTTTTAGTTTACAATGCTTAAATGACCCTGAAAGTGCACGCTGTCAAAGTGCAAAGAGCACTGATAGTTGATTGGCTGGATTCCAGGACTGGCCGCCTACACCTGGAAAGATTTCTCCTACAAGCATCTTGAACTGGTCGATGCACCCAGCGTCCTTCTGGCGAGGCTTTGTTCCTATGTCTGAAGTGCTGGGCATCGCTCGATCTATCGCGGTGAGTCGCTTCCGGGAGGCCTGGAAAGACTTAATTTGCAACTTTTCTGATTCTCATTCCATGGACTTGTGAAGGTACAAGCTACAGTCTTTTCGATGGACTTGAGATTGCTAGCCAGAATTCATTGGTTGAAAAATTTCAAAAGCGGCTAGCACCTACTGTAGGTGCTAGCCAGTGGCCTTTCTTGATTGCATGGTATGAATATTATACATATATATATTTAAGTATATATTGGTAGCCATAGATACGTCTGTAAAAAAGGAAAGCGGCTAGCACCTATAGTAGGTGCTAGCCGCTTTTGAGGAAAATCAATGTTCACCAAAAGGCTAGCAATCTGCAGTCCATAGAAAAGGGGATCCACTGGCTAGCACCTACAGTAGGTGCTAGCCAAAGTAGATTGAACAAAGAAAGGCACCGGCTAGCACCTACAGTAGGTGCTAGCCAGGGCAAGCTTAGGGATCTAATCAGAATTTCTCGCCACTGGAGGGGTAGGTGCTAGCCAACGTAGATTGAACTAAGAAAGGCGGCTAGCACCTACAGTAGGTGCTAGCCAAGGCAAGCTTAGGAATCTATGCAAAATTTCTCGCTGAGGGAGGGGAACCACTGGCTAGCACCTACAGTAGGCGCTAGCCAAGGCAAGCTTAGGAATCTATGCAGAATTTCTCGCCGCGGGAGGGGAACTGGCTAGCACCTACAGTAGGTGCTAGCCAAGGCAAGCTTAGGAATCTAAGCAGAATTTCTCGCGCTTGCCTTGGCTAGCACCTACTGTAGGTGCTAGCCAGTGGTTCCCCTCCCGCGGCGAGAAATTCTGCATAGATTCCTAAGCTTGCCTTGGCTAGCGCCTACTGTAGGTGCTAGCCAGTGCCTTTCTTAGTTCAATCTACTTTGGCTAGCGCCTACTGTAGGCGCTAGCCAGTGGACCCCCTCCAGCGGCGAGAAATTCAAATCTCGAGCGTGGCGAGAAATTTTGATTTGGGCCGCGGCGAGAGATTATTATTTGGAGCGCGGCGAGCAGTTTTGATTTGGCTCGCGGCGAGAAATTCCAGTCTGGAGTGTGGCCCAGGGCAGACTATATAGGATAGATAGGTTGAGCGGCCAACCATGTTATCCACATCTGTCATTCTCTTGGATGCGCTGTCAGGGAGAGATGCTGAGCATTCGGATGAATCCAGACATTGATGCGAGCGACGAGCAGTTCAAGCAGCACCAGGTGAACTTGCTTTTCTTCGACGATGGCTCTCAGAAGGGTTTGGCGGCGTTCCTCAACTTGGTGGGCCTTGCGAGCCTTGAGCCGAAGCTGGCCCCGGAGGAGTTCCAAGACTCCAAGGTGCAAGCTCTTTTGGTGAGCCTCCTGCAAATCCCGAGCATCATGAAGCAGGAGGCCAACAGCGCACTGGACAGCCAGATCTTGCGCATCATCAAGCAGAACCAGGACGCGCAGGCGCAACCAGTGTCTTCCTTTGGTTGGGCTTTATTGCTGAGGAGCATGACTGGCTTGAGCGAGGAGGTGGGTTTCGATGAAGCCCTCCGGATCTACAATGGACACCCGAGTGTCCAGCAGATGACCGACAAGGATGCTTAGATTCCCTAGCAAGGTTTTTCACAAATCTTTGCACGATACTCTTTTGCGGCGGGTGATCCTGAAATGAATTTTGAAAATGAGTAGTGTTTCAGGACTCAGCCGGTGGTGGGTCGATCAAAATCGACAACAGAAAAGCTGCGGCCATCAAGTCTTGGATGGAACGGTGCTCCCCAGCAGTTCTTAGCTTGGTGGAGGTCTCCCAGCATGACATCCCATTCAACGCTGGGCCCTTTGGTGAAAGCCTGGCCATGGTGCCGTGGCTTTTCCTCGACAGCACATCGCCTGTTGCTCTTTCAGCAAATGCAGGGTCTGGGCTTGCGGCTCTGGATGGGGAAGCCGTGGTCAGTGTGGACTGGCTTTTGACAATGACCCCTGAAGCGCAGATCATTCTTTTTGAAAGGATCCAGTCAGACTTCAATAGCGCGACTGCTTTAGTCGAAGTGCGCGCGAAGAAGAAGTACAGAGCAGCGCCAGCAGATCTTGTGGACATCCGCAACACTATTGTCCTGTGGACCCAAGTCAGGGGGCTATGCGAGCACTCCATGGATGCCAACGACTTTCAGCAAAAGCTTGCCTCAGGCAATCTAGTGGACGACCAGATAGCAGAAATCCTTGTGCAGCGGCCGAATAGCTTTGCTGTCAGCATGTTGCCCAGCCAACGGGCTCAGATGCAAAAGGCTGCTGAAGCCAAAGAACAAGCAGTTTGCTCCGAGGTCGAAACGCAGCGTGTAGAGTTGCGAAATGCCAGGTTTCAATTCCTGAAGGCTGCTTTGCTGCGGGATCAGGTTCAACTACAGAGGCTTGAAGCAGTTCCGACAAAGCTGGCCGCTTTGCAGCGCAGAGTAGAGGCAAAATGGAGAGAGGAGGAAGCCTACAAGGGCGAGAGAGCTGTCCAGCAGTATTGCAACAAGTATTTGAGAGTGGAGCGCGTGGACAAAATTGAATTCATTGTGGGTCCGTTCAGGGACTTTGTGACCTTTGTTGTCCTCTGGCGTGGTTTATTTTGTAATATTTTGTCTGGTGGACGCGGGACCCAATTTTATGTGTTGTGCCAAGTGTCGGTTTCTTTGGAGCCAGCGTTGTTCTCGATTTATATGGCCTCGCAGGCCAAGCTCCACAACGTGCCTCTCGATCGCGTCCATATCGTGGCGTATTGCGACTTCAACGTGCCCAATGCTGCCAGCCGGACCAGAACCCAGGATTTGGCCAAGGCGATGCACATGGTGCTGCAGCACAATGCGTCGAGGAATGTTGGACTCGCTGATTTTCCAGACGCGGCGAAAGCTTCATCGAAGCGAGGTCTGGCAGATGAGGAAGCGGATATCCAGACGGCGTTTTGGAGCATGAAGCTGAATCTGGACAACAGATTCGTGCTGCCGTTTGATCTGCATCCATCTGGAGAAAGTCTGGCCAAAAGGAGGACCGGGGTCGGTCTATCGAGTTTTGATTTTGCTTTCACTAGCATTGCATGTCTCAGTGTGATGATATGCGATGACTTTTCTCTTGAGAGGCGCTGGTCGATGGGCCGATTGGTAGTCCCCAATGAGCTAGTGGACGACAACGTGTTTTTGAATTGCTCTGAACTCAGTACAGCTGGGAGGCCCATGTATGCCGACAAGGTATTGCTTCCTCGGCAAAGGGATCTGGTGCTTCCAGAGTCCACTGACGCTAGCAGTGACTTGCGGCTCGCAGAGCGGGCTCGCCCATCGCCAGAGCAGTTGCGGGCGCAGAAGGGACGAAGCAGAGTCACCGCCATGCTGCGCAGTTTGCTCACGATGTCTGAGTACACGTTCGACGGCCCTGTCGTGCTGGTGAATTTCACGGGGTACGTAGAAGATGTGGGGCTATCAGTGGCTAGACTGATTCCCCATGTTTGTTTTTTGTATACGTGTTCGGTTGAAGACTTAATAAGCACACTTCCGATATAAATAGCAGAGAGAATCAGAGAGATAATAGCACCGCTGGTCCAGTGGGTCTGGCAGGTGTTGGATATGAAGACGACCTGTGTAGATTCAATGCCTGCTGGCTTCGATGTCAAGAACAAGCTCCACTATCTTTCCCTTCATTTTTTGGAGAGCTCGGACTTTGGCCAGATGAGGCTGTTTCGGGAGGTCACTGAGCTGTGGATGGACGGAAAGCTCAAGATCCCTGGCTTTGAGTTTTGTAGTGAGCCTCCTTCGGTCCCGCCTGACGAGCTGGCAAAGGTTCCTGGCGCAGACATTGTGACAGGTGGCTTTGACAAGCTCACCTTGGAAGTGCTGGTCCGTGATGGAAGCAGGGTCGTCTTGAAACCAGACGAAGTGAAATTCTGGCGCAGTATCCCAGATGCTTTTGGACAGGAGTTCGAGACTTTGCTCAAGAACCACGAGTCTCGGTATGCCTCATGTCACATGCTCAGTGGTTGGAATGGCCAGCTCTTTTGTTTTAAATAAATAGAGGGTCTCAATGCGGAGCCCAAGGCCTGACAACTATTATGAAGCCCGGCGGATCTTTCAATCAAGCAGAGGCCCCTGATCAGGAAGAGCCACAGGGTGCGCCGGAGCGCAAAGATGTTGTCCCCGCGGCAAAGGAGTGGGAGAGCCGCGAGATCTTAGAAAAGGAGGACCCCATCGAAGACCACGTGGTTTCGGAACTTGCCAATGTGCATTTGCTGCGTGGCAAATCTGGTGGGATCTACTTGCTCTTTGAACCCAAAGAAGAACAAAAGGAGAAGATCGTGCCGAAGAAGACTCAACTTGGTGGGTTTGGCACCGGAAGCTACGCGAAAGTGGAAGATCCTCAGCCGGGGGTTTTGTTTGAGATGGGCAAAGGTGACGCCACTTGGGTGCAATTTGACGAAAGCTCTCTCAAAGCTGATTCAACAAACATCGAGACATGGTCGCTGTACAAGATGATCGTGCAAATTGAAAAGCAAAAGCGGCTCGCCAGAGTGCCTGTGTCCTTCCTGAAGGTCACGCGCAAGTCAGACGACAAGAGCCTTGACGGCTTTGAGGTGCAGGTGGCGCAGAAGATGAAGTATCAGCCACACGAGGCAAAAAACGCCAAGAACTCGTGCAAGAGCTTCTTCCGTGGAAGCTGTGACCAAGTGGCTCAGAGTGAGATCATCCAATCGGTCTTCCGATTTCGCTATGAGCAGGTGGGGACCAATTGCAAGGTGCAAAAGCCATATGTGGTCACGAGTGTACCGTTGAAGCTGGTGGCTGGACACCCAATGAAGGCACGGTCGTTGTGTTTTCCATGTAGTAGGCTGAACCTTGGCAAGTTACTTTTTCGATTTTCTAGCTTTGGAGGTAGCCGGATGAAAACAGCTCGAGTCACAAGTGAGTGCTGATGGCATGTCTGGAACGCTTGGCGACTCCAAATTGCTTGTGGTCAGTCAGTCTCTTGTAGTTTCCAAGCTTCACCTTTTCTACACGCATAAAGTCGATGCGTCAACTTTTAGACATGCGCCCATGTTGACTGACAATGACTTATCGCAAGCCGGGGGTGGAGTCATTGCCACGGGCAGACTTGCTGCAAGCAAGTGCAGTGCATTTTTCTGCAGCGTTCTAGGGTTGTTGCTACCAATGGGTCTACATGGATCGACTATTATATTTTTCTGCGTCTGCACCTGCCAGCTATTTTGAATCAGCCATCACACGACGGCAGTATTTTTTGGAGGCTCTAGGCGAGCATTTGCGGCATCATGGCCATCGACCCCAATAAAAGCTGTGAAAAGCAGCGCAGCTCAACGTTTGTCTTGCACGTTTCTTGCATTGCGATGTGTGTGTGTGCTGTGAGGTGCGCTGTACAAGCGCTAATATATGTGCGCTGCACAAGCGCTACTAGGCTTCGGCTGCTCGACGCATTCTGATAATTTACTTGTCCGGCTTGTCCCTTTGCCATTTTTAAGCTTTTCAAGTTCGCGCGCAGTGATTTTTGAGCCGGTGTCATTCAGTGGCCATGTCCAATATGATCAATTATGACATTCAGGCAAGGATCCGTGCCAGATTGGCCACAGAAGCTGGCCAGCCTTCTGCGCCAACACTTTCGAGATCGCCTGAAGGCAAGGTGGTCCGCAGGAAATCCATAGAATCAGATTCAGAGACACCAAGGCCAAGGGCAATGCCCAAGCCCAAACCCAAAGCCAAGGGCAAATCTGACCCACGTCAGAAGGCAGAAACAGTCACAATGGATCCGAACAACGAAGATGCAGAATCTGTTCATCAGAAGAGAGAAGCGGCGCCAAAGAAGAAGGGGCAGACGTCGGCAAAAGAGACTCCTCAGGAGCATGAGGGCAATGAACTGATTGAAGAGGCCCCGCCGCAGCCAGAAGGCAGTGCAAAGAAACCAAGGGGGCCAAACAAGAGTTGTTTGAAGCTGCCGAAGGCTGACAAGACAAAGGCCGAAACAGTGATGGCTGAGTCAGAGGGGGCAGCGCAGCATCCTAAACAAGATGGTGCCGACTCTCACCTGGCTGTCGGAGGGGCTGGCAAGCAGCGCTCACCACAAAAAGCAGCGACTCCAAAGTCTGCGGCAGTACCTTTCAAGAGGCCAGCGTCAGCGCTCGAGTCTAGGCAGCCAAAGCGCAGTGCAAGGGGATCGACGCCGCACGAGACGCATGAGACCGAATCTGGCTGGAAGGCGCGCGCTCTCATTTTAGTAGTCAGTTTTAGGCGACCGATGTCACTTTTAGTAGTTAGTTTTAGGTTATAATTGCGGCGCCTGCAAGGTCACGAAGTTCTCTCCGGCCAATCGCTCTGCGTACTTCTACTACACATCTCCGAGCGGAGAGGTGCACAGATCGCTAAAAGAAGCGAGTAGACATGGATATAAGACGAAGTGATGGGGGTGGGGTAGCGAGGCCAACATTGCCTTAAGTTTTGTCAAACTGCGACCAAGTGGAAGTCAGTGCTTCTTTTCATATATTTGTCACACAATCAACGCAGCTGAAATTCCTGATCTTTATTTTCCTACACAATGGTCGCTTGCAGAAACATGACCCGATGCACTTGTGTGCGCCATAGCAAAAAAGGCCAAATTAAGACGCAGTGGCTTCCATCGGCCTCCATCGACATACCAAACACATATTCAATACAGTACTTTCCAGAATTGCTCTCTGAGGTCAAAACCACCCTGCGCTGCCCCATTGCCGCAGTGTCCTCAGCCAGGCGGCGCGGGACATGAGCCACCAAATCAAACCGCGCAGTTTCAATTTGATGCTCTAGTTTTGTTTGGCTTCGAAGGTGCGAGACATTTTTCCAAGAAAAAGGCCCTTATTGGCCCAAAGTCAAAGCAGTCCGATCCACTAGCTTCAGGTTACTATCAAAATGAAGACCACAGAGATTCCCATAGGTCTTGGAGCTTTGTATTCTGGTGCAAACTAGCAGCCGCTTGCTCTGGTGTGAGACGGCCATATTTTCCATACACACTATTGGATTTGATGCGGGCAAATGTTTTGCCCACTTCATTCGGTACATTTTGAGCTTTCAAGTCGTTGATGCATCTGTGCCGAGCAGAATGCGAACGTATATTGGCCACTTTCACTGCAGCAACATTGGGAGGCACAAAGCTTGAACGAGCACGACGAATAGCAGCGGCTGCTGTGTCCTCAGGCAGAGTCAGGGTTGCAAACCGAATGGAAAAGTTTAGGGCAATCCTGAAATCTTACAAAACCCTCTTCTGTCCTTACACATGCGTCCAAGTTTGTTGTCGGACCGCGTAGGGGGAAAGAAGTATTGCTCTGGCTCTGTAGGGAAAGTCCATGTGCTTTGGAATGTGCAAATCCCCCTTGATCCACATTTCCGGGTCAAAGTGATAGAGTGCCCACCATCAGCTTTCCATTTGTCCAAAAGCCGCCGTAGCGTCGATGAAATTGGCTTTGTGATGCTTCCATGTTTTTTTCAATGGCTTCACAGTAATCTTGTCATTGTCCAAGTCCACGTCTTGAAGCTGCAGCTTCAGGATTTCGGTCACTCTCGAGCATAGAAGGTGGCACAGGGTAAACATTACAAAGAGCCATGCAGGCCCCACCCTAGCCACATGGGTCATCCAACCTTGCCACGCTTCTCCTGTCAAAGCATCAGCCTGCCCGCGTTTCTTCACCATGATCACGGCACTGAGGGTGTCTGGCTATAGCTGTGAGCAACCTGCTGCAGTAAAAATAGTCTAGACTGCGCCACACAGCAAGTGTACGATACATTACGACAAGTCAATGGTCACCTAATTATTGGGAGTTCGCCGAGTGCACCACAGGTAGTTCGCCTACTGCGCCATTAGGCGAACTCCCGGCGCAGTAAGCGAACTCCCCGGCACCAGAAGCGAGCTCCTGGCCCTGAGA